AAAGATTTGGAAAGAATTAAAACTGCTTTAGAGTCTGTGTTCAATCTTAAATACTCTATTATCACCGCTTGGGGACACACTGCTTTAGGAGAAAACCCTTCCTTATTGTCCTAGGATATAAATTGTTACCTGGAAAGGGAGAAATAGGCCCAAGCCCAGCAACGTTTGACATCAGTCAGCTCTTGTACCCTGTTTTCAGACAGGTAGCTCTTTCAGTCATATTTCAAGTATAAGCTAGAAGAGTAAATGTTTTTATCTCTATATATCCAGTAATCATGGATATGTAATCCATGGATATGTAATCATGGATATGGTCATTGGTCTTTTTTTTTTTCTTAAGAAACTATCATTCAACAATGATTAGTTTAGAAAGTTCCAGACTTAGGATGCAATGTACTCACTTCCACTGTTTATTTGGGAAATGTATTCCAACTTTCATATTAAAGCTATTAATGTAGAATATTTATTTTGTAATCAGTTTTTTAGGGGGGAAAAATACCCATCTTCAGGATTCAGAGCCTTAAACCAAGGAAAATATATTTAAAGGAAATGTAAGTAATTCAGAGGGAAAAACGGTATTTTTCTAGGAAAAATGTTATATGGAAAATGGGGCCTATGGATTCGTTAAAATACATACAAATAAAGCAACTCAAAATATACAATGATTTCTCGCCATAGATGAACTCTTTGGTCATTCAGGTCATTTCTGGTAATTCAGAAAACCTCTGTCCGAGGAAATCTGTGCTTTGTGCCAGCTTACAGCTGTGGTACACGAGGACGCACACACACCGGGTGTAGGTTCTACAGACCTTTCACCCCCTGAAGAAGAAGGCACAGGATCATTCCTCACCAGCTACTACGATCTTGGTACAGTGACTTCCAGTGAGCTCTGACAAGATCCTGTCACTGAAAGGATCAAGGTCTACTTATGGTTACTCTGACACATTTCATGGGCAATTTGGTATTTTCTTCACTCATGTTTCTTTTCATTTCCAGAAAAGCATGCAGTTTTCAGCGGGGGCTGTGATAACAGGTCACCTGTTACCTTGCTTTGGCTTACCAGTAAGCAAGAGACGGGTGCTCTTGAAGAGTTTTGGTTGGAAAGGCTGGGAGTGTCTTTAAATCTTTCCTGGCATTTTCATCACTAAAGAGAAGAGTAATACAGTAATGTCAGTCACTGTTTCCTAAACTATAATATTATCCAAGCCAGTCACCGAATGAAATAGCAATAGCACACTGAGCTCTGTCAAAATGTCAGCACACATAAGGCTCTGGTC